CCTAAGCCTCAGGCCTGTCTGTCAATTTCACTGTACGTCCCATGGGCCTCCTTACACACACTCACACACCGGCAGAAGGATGGATAGATGGTATTATGATCCGGTAATGTAGTAGCAGCCGTGAAACTGGCACTTGTCACTTATTCAGTTACCCCAACATTTTAGGTGAGTTCAGAGGGTTTGGATGGGACACCAGGGTGTGTGTGTGTGCCTGTGACATAAGACAGACATGACAGGAGGCATCAGAAGCCTGTGTAGTCTCCGTGAACCGGTGTAACCTGACCTGTATGGTGCTGACAGTGTCTGTATCTAAATAAATGAATGAGTCTCAACGTCCGTGGTCTTTGTGTACCTGGTAACTCTGTAGGTGAAATGAATCATAGTTTTCCCCCCCTCTGTCTTTCTCTCTGTCTGTATTGTAAGTCTCTTCATCTTTCTCTTCTCTCTCTCCACCCCCTGTCCCCGTCTCTCTCCCCTGTGCTCCCAGATACATTACTACCTACTCTGCTATTGTACCGTCAAAGTCAATGAGTACGTCCCAAATGGCTCTCTATATAGTGCATTACTTTTGAACAGGGCTCTATGGGCCCTGTTCAAAAGTAGTGCAGTGTGTGTGTGTGTATACATACACTACCAGTCAAAAGTTTGGACACACCTACTCATTTAAGGGTTTTTCTTTATTTTTACTATTTTTTACATTGTAGATTAATAGTGAAGACATCAAAACTATGAAATAACACATGGAATCATGCAGTAACCAAAATTGTGCAACGTGTGTTACACAAATCAAAATATATTGTATATTTGAGATTCTTCAAATAACCACCCTTTGCCTTGATGACAGCTTTGAACACTCGGCATTCTCTCAACCAGCTTCACCTGGAATTATTTTCCAACAGTCTTGAAGGAGTTCCCACATGCTGAGCACTTGTTGGCTGCTTTTCCTTCACTCTGCGGTCCAACTCATCCCAAACCATCTCAATTGGGTTGAGGTTGGGGGATTGTGGAGGCCAGGTCATCTGATGCAGCACTCCATCACTCTCCTCCTTGGTAAAATAGCCCTTATACAGCCTGGAGGTGTGTTGCGTCATTGTCCTGTTGAAAAACAAATGATGGGATGGCGTATTGCTGCAGAATGCTGTGGTAGCTATGCTGGTTAAATGTGCCTTGAATTCTAAATAAATCGCACAGTGTCACCAGCAAAGCACACCATAACACCACCTCCTCCATGCTTTACGGTGGGAAATACACATGCGGAGATCATCCATTCACCCACACCGCGTCTCACAAAGACACGGCGGTTGGAACCATAAATCTCAAATTTGAACTCCAGACCAAAGGACAAAAGTCCATTGCTTGTGTTTCTTGGCCCAGGCAAGTCTCTTCTTATTGGTGTCCTTTAGTAGTGGTTTCTTTGCAGCAATTCTACCATGAAGGCCTGATTCACACAGTCCCCTCTGAACAGTTGATGTTGAGATGTCTGTTACTTGAACTCTGTGAAGCATTTATTTGGGCTACAATTTCTGAGGCTGATAACTATAAAGAACTTATCCTCTGCAGCAAAGGTAACTCTGGGTCTTCCATTCCTGTGGAAGTCCTCATGAGAGCCAGTTTCATCATAGCGCTTGATGGTTTTTGCGACTGCACTTGAAGAAAGTTTCAAAGTTCTTGAAATGTTCTGTATTGACTGACCTTCATGTCTTAAAGTAATGATGGACTGTTGTTTCTCTTTGCTTATTTGAGCTGTTCTTGCCATAATATGGACTTGGTCTTTTACCAAATAAGGCTATATTCTGTATCCCCCCCTACCTTGTCACAACACAACTGATTGGCTGAAACGCATTAAGAAGGAAATAAATTCCACAAATTAACTTTTAAGAAGGCACACCTGTTAATTTAAATGCATTCCAGGTGACTACCTCATGAAGCTGGTTGAGAGTGTGCAAAGCTGTCAAGGCAAATGGTGGCTATTTGAAGAATCTCAAATATAAAATATATTTTGAATTGTTTAACACTTTTTTGCTTACTACATGATTCCATATGTGCTATTTCATAGTTTTGATGTCTTCACTATTATTCTACAATGTAGAAAATAGTAAAAATAAAGAAAACCCCTGGAATGAATAGGTGTGTCCAAACTTTTGACTGGTACTGTATGCATATATATATATATATATATATATATATATATATATATATGTATGTGTTTCTGTGTATGTGTGTATATGTATATATGTATGTCTGGAATAGTGTGCCATATAGGACACACACAATCTATTACTTCATGAGGGTTTAGGTTACATTTAATGTGGCGGTTAAAGAAGGGTGACTTTTTATTTTTTGGGGGGGTCGGGGGGTGGGTCAAATTGTGAGAACTGAAGGCTAATTAATGATAAACTAATGATTGAGTATTTGAATCTTTTTTTTTTTTACAGTACCTGTTCAGAAGACTGTTGATAAGAGATTTCCTCTTAATAAAGATAATAAAGAAGAAAAGTTCCCATTGACTAAGTTCCCAGGTTCCTAGTCTGAGTCACATGGCATCAACATGCTTTATTCACCATGTGATAAGTTGGTGTTTTTACCATGCGAGTTAGTCAGTCAGTAGGCTACATATCTAAACAGGGTCCTTATTGTTTTGTAGTTTTAGTTGCTGGGATCACTTGATTGTAAGAGAGCACGAGTGTGTGTGTCTGTGTGTGCGTGCATGCTTGCATGGGAAAGTATTCCTGTATGTTACCCTTTAAGTCTTAAGTTTTGACTCCAAGGAAATGCAAGATAACTATGTTAAACACCAACTTATTTCCTAATCAGAAACCATTTGAGCTTACAGACTAGTAAGAACATTTACTTTCATTAAATGTTGTTTGTTTTGCTTTCCTTATGACATTTCAGATATTTTTGTGATTGTTTTATTTTTGTTTTAGCTCGAGAAACACTTCTTGCTATTGATTTTATAAAGGAACAAAATAATGTTGGAGAAAAAAGTATATTAAATACTAATGAATCACTTGTCTAGTAGATACTGCACTGATTATATGGTCCTACGTTTCTCTCTTTAAATCACACCTTTTGAATTGAGGCCTTATTTTAGAAAGGGAGAGGGCCCTATGTTTATTTATATCTCTCTTTTCTTTTTCTTTTTGAAATGACTGATGGAATCATAACTGAGGTTGATTTTTGTTTTAGCACTTTCTCTCTTTGCATCTCATTTGTATCTTTATGAAAATATGTACTAGATCATATTTGAATGCTTGTATATTTGTTACTTCTCTGCATTTGGGGGAAAATAAAGAATACCAACCTGACTCGTCTTTACATTTGTCATTACTCCGACCAGATTCAACATTTGTACGTTATTTTATTTCATTCAGTCATAAACCCTTGATTGCTGAAAACGGTTCACATTTTATTAGAACATGTCGCCATCTAGTGGTGACTTCTAAAGAATCAACAAGTCACGCAAGTCTTATAATAAAAGGAAGATGGGCGGTTGGCCTATAGCAACAAAACACAGAATATTCATAGGCATGATTAGAGAAAAATCTGTCAAACTTATAAAAACACACTATTGATAGGCTACAACAGACATACACTGTTGCATGTTTATTGAGGGCCAGGGGTCAAGCATAATGCGGTGCCTTTGTGTAAGTCCTTAACTTGTGTAACTATGTGAAGATAAATTGAGTATACACTTAAAACATATGAAAGCAAGCTGCCAGAGAGAAGGACGCCACTAGTGACATTTGGCATGGGAATAGGGAACACATGCGCCTCAGAACGGCTTTATTATCTCGCGCCGCATAAGCTGAAAGGCTCTGTCACGCGCGCTGACATTTCCTGAAAGAGATGGCAAAAGGACATCTGAGAGGCTCGGAGAAGACAAAAACACATAGGCTACAGTACATACCAACATTTATTTGTTTATTAGGATGAAGACATGTAGGCTAGACTTGCGAATCAAGATCATCAATATTATGAAAAGTTGTTCAACTGTGTGTGCGTTGCTTAGGGCTATTACATTTTGAGAATATAGTAGTGAACGGAGTAAGCGGGAAGCAAACCCAGACCTCCGGCGTGATAGGCAAACATCCTACACATCACGCCAATAGGGTTAATACACTTGGTGAGAATTGTAACATGGCTCATATAGCGAGGATCGCTACTCTATGATTAATTTGAAATATATTAAATATTTACAATCATATAAGAATCAGTGAGAGCCATATCAGTATTTGTACCATTCAATACAATAAAAATACTGACTTTATTATGTGTAACTGGCCTGCTAAAATAACCATCTTCCGTATTTTTAACAAGTTCAAGGAACATCCAGTTGCAGTTATTCTCCTCGACACAAGAGAGCGGACCATATAAATTCCGCTCTGTTTGTCCCTCGTCATGCACAGTACTTGGTGTTATTTTCTAAGGCCTGAAAGTGGGAGGTCCTTTTCCCCGCAGACTCCAACATGGTGAGCTGTGTTTCCGAACGATTCTCTCCATAATCATCGTCAAACATCACTTTTTCTGAATATAATATCGCACATAAAACTGTGATGATTTGAAAATACATACATTTTGCGATGGTTAATCCCTGTATTGAAATAAGAACTTATGTTTTGGTCTATGAAACTATATTCGAAAAACTGACTTATTTGGCATTCGGAGCCAACGGCTAGCTAGTTAGCGTCAATGCTGCCCATTTGAACCAAATGTTTCTGCTACCACAGCTTTTATGTTAGTCTATTTCTAAAGTGTATACCTGTCCGTGGCAATTGAGCACAAACCTTTTCCAGAGAGAATTGGGTAATGTGCTTTTTTTCGAGTAGGCCCTAGTCGAAATACCGTGTAGGAAATGGCTAGCTTGAATGCTAAACTCTGCTAGCCAGACAGGTCGCATGGTGTCTCGAATGAAACTGAGCTGTCTGTCGTTGTTGGGCTGTTGTTTGAAAGTTTAACTACATTCTAGCCAGTTGAGTTGAGCAGTTATTTTTGTGGTTACTAGGCACGAGGACCGAAGAAGCACCTGAAGCGCGTTGCAGCGCCCAAGCATTGGATGCTTGACAAGCTCACCGGAGTGTTCGTAAGTACAATTTACTTCATACCTAAATGGTGTTAAAACCACAATGTTACCAGCTAGTTGCAGATTATTAGCAAAATGGAGGGGCATTCATATCTATGGCCGCGTCGCATAGAAACGACTAGTTCCTGCATATATGTCTGGCAGCAAAAATTGTGCGGTAACGCTTAACTCTGTGCATAACGTGGATTTGTCTTTCTGAATATTCTCTGGTGTATGGCGAACCACCTGCAACTGAACAGACATTTTTTTTAAAAACACACGAAGAAAGTATAGGCAAGAACAAGTTCGTTGCTTCTGACCCTTTCTATTAGCCAAGGTATAACTGTTAATATTGAATAATTCAAATATCGCCGTTTTAATGCATAGCTATCTTCCTGTGTAGTTGTCTGCCGTCCCTACATTGTCTATAGCGGTCATTGTTTACTGCTCATATAGCAGTTAAAATAGCACGTCCTATTTTCTCCTCTGTAGGCGCCTCGTCCCTCCACTGGTCCCCACAAGCTGAGGGAGTGCCTGCCCCTCATCATCTTCCTCAGGAACCGTCTGAAGTACGCCCTGACCGGAGACGAGGTCAAGAAGATCTGCATGCAGAGGTTCATCAAGATTGACGGCAAGGTCCGCACTGATGTCACCTACCCCACTGGCTTCATGGGTGAGTTGGGTTTGATGAGGGGTGGGTGAAGAAGGGATGGGGTGAGTATGTTTTGAGTGAGGAAGGGAGAGGAGTATAGTTTGCAGTGATGTCACCTTCCCAATTGGCTTCATGGGTGAGTCTGACTAGGGGATAGGGGGATGCAAGGTGTGGGTGGGTAGGTGAAGGATAATGGGAATGGAGTGAGGGGATGGGAAGGACTGGAGGGTGCATTTGGGGTGAGAAGGGGGAGGGAACTGTTCCACTCCATGCATGCTTTCACCTAGCCAGTGACTAGAGCAGGAAATAAAGAGCAATGAAGACAATCTTTGGTTTTGATCAATGAGCTGAAAAAAATCTCACCAATACCTCTAAGAAGTTCTGAGCTCTAACTGAAAGTAGGGATGCATTTTCTAGTATTTGGACAGGTTATAGGACATGTAGCCCCTTGTTGCTGTGAAATTAGATTTGTAAATGTTTCCAGTTGTAGTTGGGCTGTTGTGATGGACACATCACATTGGCTGTAAGGCACTGAACTGACTGAAAGCTTCTGCTATAAATGTCTATAGAATGTTGCACTTGGGAGATGCCATGCTTAGTGATTGGAGTGAGTTTCATTTTGTTGTAGTTAGTCTGGGCTTTTGGGGGCGGAGGCTTATGGTGATACCTTGATCACGCTTGTCAAATTATTCCTCACTTTTCTAATTTGGTGTTCATGGCTTCTGGTTAGATAAGTGCACCTCACACCAGATGGATGGACATCTGTGAACCCACTTCAAGGAATTTAATCTCTTTTTGGATCTTCACCCATAACCCCCTTGGGGCTCAGGCATACTTGTACACACACCAGTAGACATTCACTCTCATATACTCAAACATTTTCTCAGGCACACACTCCTTCATATACACCCCACCAGACTTTCATGCACACACCATCTTGCACGCACACACACTTCCATAGCACCTTTATTCCTGCCAAGAGAGTAATGATGGTGTTGTGATTAATTTCCCAGGCCAGGTGAAGCCTCACAGTATGTAAATGCAGACCATGTAACACCTCTCCTTCAAGGCTAGCTCACACACTACTGTTAGAAAAACAATACAGTGGGATGTTAGCCGAGCCATTAATCTACAATGGAGTGGCTTTGTCACTGGACCATGCCCTCTCCCTCATTGGTGCACCACAAGGCTAGATCACACACCTTGATGGCAAAACGGTGTGACCCCTCTGATACCCAATGGAGTCTAGAGGAATTGTATAGTGCCCCTCCACCAGTCTTAAGATTTACCAGTCTTTAGCTAGCTAGCTGATGTACAATGGAATGAGTTGTATTGTGCTTTTTACTAGTATCTGACCTGGGCGGCAGGTAGCCTAGCGGTTAGACCGTTGGACCAGTAACCGAAAGGTCGCTAGTTCGAATCCCGAGCCGACAAGGTGAAAAGGGAACTTGATGTTCCAGGGTCGCTGTTGATAATGGCAGACCCTGGCCGTCACCCCACTCTCCGAGGATATCTCAGGAGTGGGATATGTAAAAACAAATGTCCAATTCACCCTTATTAATACGCACTTGTACATGTGTGAAATGGGACAAATCTAAGCACCTACCTAATTATTACTATTATGAAGGGACTATATATTGTTGGGTTGACTGTCATTCTGACTACAGGTATCTGAATTGCGCGGTGTCATTTTGTTCCCAGTTATGAGAATTTGATCCTGACTGACAGATTGTTTATTGAATTTGGTCTGATGCTGACTTTTGTTTTAGCTGTGCTTTGACAGACAATGTTGTGATGTAGTGTTGGCCTGTTCTGGATTTGATCATTGACACGAACTGGTGTTGTCTGTCTGTAGATGTGATCAGCATTGAGAAAACTGGAGAGCATTTCCGTCTGATCTATGATGTGAAGGGACGTTTCACCGTTCACCGCATCACTGCTGAGGAGGCCCAGGTACTACACACACATTGTCACACATGCTTGGGAGTCTAGTAATTCACAGCTCAGGCCTAACTTTTAAACCAAGCAGTACAATATAATGTTCTGTATGGAGGGAGCAATGAAGACAGTCTTTGGTTTTGACCAACGATCTGAAAAAACTCACCAATACCTCTAAGAAGTTCTGAGCTCCAACCAAAAGAATTGAATGAATCCTAATGTGAAACGGTTACAAATTCAACCTTTTGTGTAAATGCCTAGCGCGATTTCAGTTGGAGTACTTATGCTTGTTTATCATATTAGGATTTAGGCTCCAAAACCAAGCTGTGAATAACTGCTGACATGTAAAACATTTTTGGACTATCAACAGTGGACTAATGGAAAAAAAAAGAGGTTCTAGTGGTTTTTCCTTTAAATTAAGCATTTATATTTCAGAGACTAGGTTTGGGAAGCCCTGCAATAACAATCACTCACTTTCTCCTCTCCCATCCCCCTCATCACCTCCCCCTCTCCTTCCCTCCAGTACAAACTGTGCAAGGTGAAGAAGAACCTCATTGGCACCAAGGGAGTCCCCCACCTGGTGACCCACGACGCACGCACCATCCGCTACCCCGACCCCCTCATCAAGGTCAACGACACAGTCCGCATCGACCTCGCCACCGGCAAGATCACAGAACACATCAAGTTTGACACAGGTAACATCACAGTTAACAATATATACTTTTAACGTGATTGAAAGGGAAATTAATACCTGTGAGGAAAGCGGTCTTTAAGGTTAGCGTGTTAAGATTTTTTAAAGTGTTACATATCAAATCTATTAAGGGAGTGGGTAGTAATATCTATGGCTTGTGTCTTGAAAAATTATTAGGAAAGCAGGATAAGTTACAGTGCAGCTTGTTCAGTCCTGTTATGTTCCCCCTGCACACATCAACTTGTTTCCTACTATTCCTATCTGTCTTGCATCCCACGGCTTGCAGGGACGCTTGGTCTCAGACACTGTTAGACAGGCATAGTAACTAAATTTAAGATTTTGTGTAGTCTTGCTTATCCCATGGTAGAGGGTGACATTTTTTTCAACGGTGAATGTAGAACTGGATGTTTGACAAGTCTGTTCATTCAGACCATTGGATCCACTAAGCACCATCTTTGAAACTTTCTGCAGATTTGACTGATGCAAAGCAACAATGCTACATTTTAGTCATTTAGCAGAGTGCATACTTTTTTTTTCTCGTACTGGCCCCCCGTGGGAAACTAATGCACAACCCTGGCGTTGCAAGCGCCATGCTATACCAACTGAGCTACCCAATCAAACTTGGCATACTTTTGAAGCGCAGTCTTTATCCTCATCTCTCTCCCCTCTTCTTCCCTCTTCTCCCTGTAGGTAACCTGTGCATGGTGACCGGCGGTGCCAATTTGGGGCGTATCGGTATCATCACCAACAGGGAGAGGCATCCTGGCTCGTTTGACGTGGTGCACGTCAAGGATAGCGCTGGAAACATCTTCGCCACCAGGCTTGGAAACATCTTCATCATTGGCAAAGTAAGCAGAGGAGACTCGTACACGCACACTCAAACACATACCTGCACATCCACATACACACATGAACTACAGACACCCTGACAACACTGCTCATCCCCTCCATTTCTTGACACTCATGTAGTTGCTCAGTACTCATGTGTGATTGTACGGAGGTAGAACAAAGCCAATGCTATGTCTTCGGTACCAGTGTGTTATTGTCTGCTGGTTCTATCCTCAATCGCTGGCACACTTGACAATGATGAACAGTAGGTTTACCAACCATCCTAAACCATCTTGGCTGCAGACAACCATTGTGGAGGGACACAATGACACATTGGTCCTTACCCTGTAAGCAGTCTATGGACAACGTATGACAGCTATCCACGCTTTGGTTTAGTTTCCCTGGCACTGTTTCTACATGCTAATGTTCAAGTATTTGTGACACAAATCCCATTTAAGTCATGGGACCAATGTAAGCATTTTTCGCACATGTTCAAATCATCTAGAAGTGATGTTGAGCTTCACAATACATTTTTGATCAGGGGTCTCCAATCTTAGCATGAGAGCTACTTAAAAAAATTAATATGAATATGTCCAGTGCTACTCATTATTTTCTAGCTTTCAAATAGGCCCGTTGTTCTCCTCTTCCCTGTGTCCATAATATACAAGAGAAAGTAGTGCACTGTTTTCTGACATTATACCTGGTAAGATAATGGTTAATAAACAACAAAGGGGTGGCAATGTGTCCGGAAGAAAACAAACCATATTTAGATTTGAGTGTAATTCCCCTTTAATTGCACATCTGTCCATTTAATTGTGCATCTAGCGAGTGTGTAATGTGCCGGTCTAGCGACGGTTCTGTACTGCTGCTGCTCGTTTCATGGCAACATTGGCAAATAATAGATACACATGATAAACTTAATCATGATATACATCTGCCAGGTAAGCATTTAACATAAAATGAATAACATTGCATTTAACATTTATTTGAGAAGGTTTTGGGGAAAGTATTTCTGTCAACCCACAATACTGTTATCACATCAACTGGTTACACACAGAGCGATAAAAGGGCCCACCACACAGACAGACCGGGGCAATATTGCTGGAAATTAATGGGCAGATATTGTTAGGTTTGGATTTTGAAGAAAATCGTGGCTAACCAGGGATGGGATAATGTTGCGTTGATTAGATAGTCGCTGGGAGCTTGCAGTGTCTGATACTGATGAGATTTGTCTGACAGTTTGCGGTGGAACACGTGAAAATTGCATGTACTTTCAGAATTGTTTGGCGAGCTACTCATAGGTGGCCTGTAAGCTACTGGTAGCTTGCGATCAACCTGTTGGATAGCCTGCTTTTAGGTACTTCTAGATGATTTGGACATGATGCGCGAAAAATGCTAATATAGGTCCCATGACTTAAATTGGATATGTGCCACAAATGCTAAAATGTTAGCATTTGGGGACTGCCATGACAACTAAGCCAAAGCATGGATTCATACCTTGTCTGTAGACTGCTGACAGGGAAAGGAAACATGTAATTTGGGTGAAATATCCCTTTAACACAAGTACATACTACAGCCTGATCAATTTATCGGTCCCACACATTATCGGCAGGTTTTGGTCTTTTTAGACTAACATCAGTATTTGTCACAGCTAAGATGAAATGTTCAATTTTCCTAAGAACCAAGGTTAATTTTTATTGAAAATTATATTTTATCCACTTACATTTGACCACTTCCTGTGTCATGTTTGTAGATTCCCTCTTTACCACCTTTCTTTTGTAACATCTTCTGTTTTCCCTCCTCTTTCTCCCCACCCCCCCATATCTCCAGGGCAACAAGCCGTGGGTGTCCCTGCCCCGTGGAAAGGGTATCCGTCTCACAATCGCTGAGGAGAGAGACAAGAGAATCGCTGCCAAGGCCGGCAGCAGCTAAGTCCTATATGTAGGTCTAAGCATCTTGGCTTTGAAATAAAACAATGTTATTTACAACAAAATCCAACCGCTGACTTGACTATTGTTTTCCATGTTGATGTTAGTAAATGATTTGGTTTGTAAATGATTTGAAAGACTAGGGAAATGTGTTTTGATGGAAAATTTGTCAGTTCCTTGTCAACTAGTGAGAGGCCTGTTATTTACACTGCCTAGTGCTTATGTGATCATAACCTCACTGAACATTACAGTATGTGCTAAGCATGTTGTGATCATTTACATTTAAACACTTTGTGTATTCACATTCACTAAAACCAGGTTGTGTGTGTATATGGGCATTCAATCTTCGATCAACATTGTCATGCACTGGAAAGTGTGGTTTGGGTAATGTTGGACATATGGCATGTTATTGCTGCTGGTCATTATGGGACGTCTTCCAGTTTTCACCTTGCAGAAGACTATGAAGAGGGCTGCAATCAGCAATGGTAGGGTTCAAGCTATGGCCCCACAGCGCCACCATCAGGAGAAATTGGACACATCGCTCTAGGGTGAGCTACACTGGGAAAATATCTACATTCTTTTTACATTTTTAGTCATTTAGCAGACTCTTATCCAGAGAGACTTAGTGAGTGCATACATTTTCATACTGGCCCCCCGTGGGAAACGAACCCACAACCCTGGCGTTGCAAGCGCCATGCTCTACCAACTGAGCTACAGGGGACTTACATTTAAAAGATTATACTGCGTTGGAGTTTAAATAAAGAAATGGGTCATTTGAAGAGTTCATAAGGATCTAATCTATGGATTTCACATGACTGATAATACATTTACATTTTAGTCATTTAGCAGACGCTCTTAACCAGAGCGACTTACAGGAGCAATTAGGGTTAAGTGCCTTGCTCAAGGGCACATTAACGTCATTTAGCAGACGCTCTTAGCCAGAGCGACTCACAAATTGGTGCGTTCACCCTATAGCCAGTGGGATAACCACTTTACAATTTGGGCGGGTTAGAAGGAATACTTTATCCTATCCCAGGTATTCCTTAAAGAGGTGGGGTTTCAAATGTATAATACACAACTGGGGGGGGGGGGTTGTGGATCAGAAAAACAGTCAGTGTCTGGGACTCCCGAGTGGCGCAGCAGTCTAAGGCACGGCATCTCAGTGCTTGAGGCGTCACTACAGACCCCCTGGTTCGTTTCCAGGCTGTATCACAACCGGCCATGATTGGGAGTCCCATAGGGCGGCGCACAATTGGCCCAGCATTGTCGGGGTTTGGCCGGTGTAGGCCATCATTGTAAATAAGAATTTGTTCTTAACTGACTTAACTAGTTAAATACAAATATATAAAAAATAGTGTGTTACCATATGCCTCTTGCAGTGCACCACATCTCCTTCGCATAGTGGATCAGGTTGTTTATTGTAGCCTGCGGAATGTTGTCCCACTCCTTCAATCACTGCGAAGTTGCTGGATATTGGCGGGAGCTGGAACACGCTGTCATACAGGTCGATCCAGAGCATCCCAAACATGCTCAATGGGTAACGTCTGAATATGCAGGTCAAGGAAGAACTAGGTCATTTTCAGTTTTCTGGAATTGTGTACAGATCCTTGTGACATGGGGCCGTGCAATATGCTGAAACATGAGGTGATGGTGGCGGATGAATGGTGCAACTGGGCCTGAGGATCTTGTTAAGTATCTTTGTGCATTGAAATTACCATCGATAAAATGCGATTGTGTTCGTTGTCTGTAGCTTATGCCTGCCCATCCATAACCCCACCGCCACCATGGGGCACTCTGTTCACAACGTTGACATCAGCAAACCGCTCGTCCACACGACGCCATCTGCCCGGTACAGTTGAAACCGGGATTCATCTGTGAAGAGCGCTCTTCTCCAGCGTGCCAGTGGCCATTGAAGGTGAGCATTTGCCCACTGAAGTCTGTTATGAAGCCGAATTGCAGTCTGGTCAAGACCCAGGCGAGGACGACAAGCACACAGATGAGCTTCCGTGAGACGGTTTCTGACAGTTTGTTCAGAAATGTTTCAGTTGTGCAAACCCACAGTTTCATCAGCTGTCCGAGTGGCTGGGCTCAGACGATCCCCCAGGTCAAGCAACTACTTACTGGACAAAAAACGATGTACCATGATTTCTGTGTTAATATGGGATAATTACAATTTCTCTCTTGTATTCTAAGCTGAAAATGTAGACAATAGTACACTTCACTGACATTTTTACCCTCTCCCTGAGCGAGTCTGTAATACCAACATGTTTCAAGCAGACCACCATAGTCCCTGTGCCCAAGAAAGCGAAGGTAACCTGCCTAAATTACTACCGCCCCATAGCACTCACGTCGGTATCCATGAAGTGCTTTGAAAGGCTGGTCATAGCTCACATCAACACCATCATCCCGGAAACCCTAGACCCACTCCAATTCGCATACCGCCCCAACAGATCCACAGATGACACAATCTCTCCACACTGCCCTTTCCCACCAGGACAAAAGGAACACCTATGTGAGTATGTTGTTCATTGACTACAGCTCAGCGTTCAACACCATTGTACCCACAAACTCATCACTAAGCTAAGGACCCTGGGACTAAACACCTCCCTCTGCAACTGGATTATGGACTTCCTGATGGGCCGCCACCAGGTGGTAAGGGTAGGCAACAACACGTCTGCCACGCTGATCCTCAACACGGGGGCCCCTCAGGGGTGCGTGCTTAGTCCCCTCCTGTACTCCCTGTTCACCCACGACTGCGTGGCCAAGCACGACTCCAACACCATCATTAAGTTTGCTGACGACACAACAGTGGTAGGCCTGATCACCGACAACGATGAGACAGCCTATAGGGAGGAGGCAGAATGGTGCCAGGGCAACATCCTCTCCCTCAACGTGAGCAAGACAAAGGAGCTGATCGTGGACTACAGAAAAAGGAGGGCCGAACACGCCCCCATTCAAGAGTTTCAAGTTCCTTGGTGTCCACATCACCAACAAACTATCATGGTCCAAACACCAAGAAAGTCGTGAAGAGGGCACGACAACGCCTTTTCCCCCTCAGGAGACTGAAAAGATGTGGCATGGGTCCCCAGATCCTCAAAAAGTTCTACAACTGCACCATCGAGAGCATCCTGACCGGTTGCATCACTGCCTGGTATGGCAACTGCTCGGCATCCAACCGTAAGGTGCTACAAATGGTAGTGCGTACAGCCCAGTACATCACTGGGGGCAAGCTTCCTGCCATCCAGGACCTATATACTAGGCGTGTCAGAGAAAGGCCCCAAAAATTGTCAAAGTCTCCAGTCACCCAAGTCATAGACTGTTGTCTCTGCTACCGCACGGCAAGCGGTACCGGAGCTCCAAGTCTAAAGCCAAAAGGCTCCTTAACAGCTTCTACCCCCAAGCCATAAGACTGCTGAACAATTAATCAAATGGCCACCCGGACTATTTACATTGACCCCCCCTGCTACTCGCTGTTTATTATCTATAGTCACTTTATCCCTACCTACATGTACAAATTACCTCGACTAACCTGTAGCCCCGCACATTGACTCGGTACCGGTATAGCCTCGTTATTTTATTGTGTTACTCTTTATTTAATTTTTAACTTTATTTTATTTAGCAAATATTTTCTTAACTCTATTTCTTGAACTGCATTGTTGGTTAAGGGCTTGTAAGTAAGCATTTCACGGTAAGGTTGTATTCGGCGCATGTGACAAATATTATTTTATTTTATTTGATCAGCCAGTGTCGCACTTCCGCATCTGTGGTGAAAGATGGCAAAGCTAGAGAGGTGTTTGTCAGACCATGAGACATCCCAAAAATCGGTCTTCTCAAGTAAACGTCTGTAGCATCCGAACGGTTTGACCTAAAAACTATAATAACTGCTCTATGGAAAGGGGAGACTCCATTTTGCTCTATGAGCCCCACAAGTGTCACGGGATTCTTCTGAAGGTAACCGGTACCGGTCTTTAAAAAAAAAACGAATGGAAGTATGAAGGTAGTTTTGTGCCTACCCAAAAAAGGGGTTAAATATGTTTGAATATATATATATATATATATATATATATATTTATACAGTGGGGGAAAAAGTATTTAGTCAGCCACCAATTGTGCAAGTTCTCCCACTTAAAAAGATGAGAGGCCTGTAATTTTCATCATATGTACACGTCAACTATGACAGACAAATTGAGGGAAAAAATCCAGAAAATCACATTGTAGGATTTTTAATGCATTTATTTGCAAATTATGGTGGAAAATAAGTATTTGGTCACCTACAAACAAGCAAGATTTCTGGCTCTCACAGACCTGTAACTTCTTCTTTAAGAGGCTCCTCTGTCCTCCACTCGTTACCTGTATTAATGGCACCTGTTTGAACTTGTTATCAGTATAAAAGACACCTGTCCACAACCTCAAACAGTCACACTCCAAACTCCACTATGGCCAAGACCAAAGAGCTGTCAAAGGACACCAGAAACAAAATTGTAGACCTGCACCAGGCTGGGAAGACTGAATCTGCAATAGGTAAGCAGCTTGGTTTGAAGAAATCAACTGTGGGAGCAATTATTAGGAAATGGAAGACATACAAGACCACTGATAATCTCCCTCGATCTGGGGCTCCACGCAAGATCTCAACCCGTGGGGTCAAAATGATCACAAGAACTGTGAGCAAAAATCCCAGAACCACACGGGGGGACCTAGTGAATGACCTGCAGAGAGCTGGGACCAAAGTAACAAAGCCTACCATCAGTAACACACTACGCCGCCAGAGACTAAAATCCTGCAGTGCCAGACGTGTCCCCCTGCTTAAGCCAGTACATGTCCAGGCCCGTCTGAAGTTTGCTAGAGTGCATTTGGATGATCCAGAAGAGGATTGGGAGAATGTCATATGGTCAGATGAAACCAAAATAGAACTTTTTGGTAAAAACTCAACTCGTCGTGTTTGGAGGACAAAGAATGCTGAGTTGCATCCAAAGAACACCATACCTACTATGAAGCATGGGGGTGGAAACATCATGCTTTGGGGCTGTTTTTCTGCAAAGGGACCAGGACGACTGATCCGTGTAAAGGAAA